AGCACAGAAACAGTACTATATAACATTTTAGACACATTCTAGACAGTTTATCAGCTAAAAAAAGTTAATTTTGGGGTAAGTTACTCTTTAAACTGTAGTGTTGTTTTTTACCAGCTAAYCTTCAAGCTAACATTAGCCAAACTAGCTAACTAGCTTTCCTTAGTTAGCCGCGCTAGCTAAAGGTTCATTGAATCTGATTTTAAAGAATAAAATAAACTTTACCTCCTGAAAGGTTTTAGGTGCTGCTCTCAGACTGATCCCAGGAATGTCTGAATTTATTTTGTGAACAAATTGACCGGAATCCATTTTTTTGTAAATTCAACACAAGATAACCTGTAACTAAAAGATAGCTTGCAGGTGTTTGTAGTGGTGAATATCGTTGCCACAGTAACGACGTAAAAAACGTCGCGGACGGCGAGCAGCGAAGCCCAAAAGTCATTTGAAACGAAACGCCCATTTTCCTCCGTGAAACAGGAAGTCGTGTTCTTGTTGCAGCGACGCGTTTTGATTTTCTCCTCCTTCACGAAAATAAAACGGAGGGTGAATTTAACCGTTTACTGAACCGCAGGAGACGCGAACCGGTTAAAAAAAGCTCCGGCTTTATCCGTCAGCGCCGCCAGCGCCATGTTGTCGGACGCAGGTCAGCGGTTAGCTACATGCTACATGCTAATTGTGACATGATGCTAATTTAAAGGGCTAAATAACGTCTTTAAATCAGAACCTGTGCTGTGTTTACGATTTATTTCATCTCATATTTTTATTGGATTCGGTTTTACGGGTTTATTAATCTGGTTTTCAGTTATGAAAAGACTTTTATCGGTTTTGTTTATAGTTTTATCAGAGCTGTATTGTTCCGCCCCTCTCAGACACGGTTTGTTATTGTTGTTGCAGATCACTCCGGGAGTGCCTCCGGGGCTCGCAGAGCCAAGAAGAGGAGCTCCGGGGAGTCACCGGGGGACGGACAGACCCTGCGCTCCTCCGGGAGGCAGACCACCGCCCGGGTGAAGCGCACCAACAACCCCCCACCTGGACAGGTGCACGATGGGCTTTGTTCTCTGATTCATGCTAAAGCTGAGAATTAATTTAAATATGATCAAATATTACAGCTTTTATTATTTATATTACATGTTGGCATTAATCACAAACTTAATAACAACATTTTATTTATTCAGATAAAACAAAACCAACTAGAGAAAATGCTGTGAAAGCTGAAATTCAGCTGAAAATATTTAATAGCAAAAGCTGAAATAAAAAAACTTTGAAGAAAAACAGTAAAAAGAAACTCAAATCTAGTTGAAAACAAGAGAAAACAGCTAAAATAGCTGAATGTAGCTGAAAACATCTGTAAGAAGCATAAATAGCACAAATTAGCAGAAACACAAAGTAGAAAACAGAAGAAAAGCAGAAAGAAGCAGATCTAAAGTTGAAAAAGAATAAAAAAGGCTAAAATTAGCATAAAATAAGCTAAAGATAGCAGCCACAAGTTGTAATTAACACCCAGATAGTGAAAGTTGTCTAACAAAATTTTAAATTGGCAGAAAAAAGTGCATAAAAGTACAAAATTGTCCGTTTGTAGCAAAATAGCTGAAACAACTGAAATTTTCAGTAAAACAGCTAGAATTTGTTTGTAAATAGCATAAATAAGCATAAGGAGCACATGTTGTAAATGCTACAAAAACTGTGTATTTAGCTTAAAATGGCTAACTTTAGCAAATAACAGCTGAATTTTAGCTAAAATTGCAGAAAAAAAGCTCAATATAGAAAAAAAATCATCTGTAAGAAGCATAGGCAGCACAAAGTAGCATAAAAAGGCAGAAAAATAGCAAAAAGAAGCAAACTTTTAGCTGAAATAGCAGAAAACAGCTAAATTAGCAAACAAAGTAGCTAAAATTAGCACAAGGAAATATAGAGCGGAACCAGAAGAAGTTGTGTAAGGTGCTGTAAAAGTTTAGAAACATTTTGAAGGGTTTTAAAGATGTTGAAAATTCAGTTTCAATGGCAAAAAWGTGAAACAGCTGAAAAAGTGTAAACAGCTGAAATACCAACAATCAGCACCCTTGGCTTAAATGAGCTGAACGTTTTGATAAATGAATTGTTGAAATATTATAAAAAGTGTGGAAGGAGTTAGCTGCTGAAAAACGTGCGGAAGAAAAATGATGATTCTTGCTAAGGTTTAGCTGTGGCGGCCATCTTGAACAGGGTTTTATTGTAGGAGGGATGAGATATTTTGCTAACAGACAAACAAATTCTCATGTATGACTCACTGACTTATCCTCTTTTAATTATCAAACAAATGCATGTTATTGTTTTTGTTTCAGAGTAAGAGAAAAGCCACGGACACGGAGGAAGAAGACGAGCAGTCGGAGAAGAAGTACAGAAGATGTGAGAAGGCCGGGTGCTCTGCCGTCTACCCCGTTTGCTTTGCCAGTGYGTCAGAAAGGTAATCCAAGAGGAAAAACCTCTTTGTTTTTATTCCTCAGGATTATCATCACCAGCAGCTTCTCCTTCTCCTCAGGTGTGCGAAAAACGGCTACACGTCTCGCTGGTATCACCTGTCGTGCGGTGAACATTTCTGCAACGAGTGTTTCGACCACTGCTACAGAAGGTAAGAGAGGCTGCGCGGCGCCGAGCAGACGGACGCTTTAACAGAGTTGCTCCTCTGTGTTCAGTCACAAAGACGGCTACGAGACGTTCGCCTCCTGGAAGAAGGTGTGGACGAGCAACGGGAAGAGCGAGCCCAGCCTGAAGGCCTTCATGGCCGACCAGCTGCTGCCGTACTGGGTACGAGGAGCTCCTCCTCCTCCTGGTCTGAGCCGAGCCTTTTAACCGTGGTGCTAACCGCTGGTGTTTCTGCGTCAGGTTCAGTGCACCAAACAGGACTGCAGGAAGTGGCGTCAGCTGACCAAAGAGATCCACCTCACCGCCGCGCTGGCTGCGACCTACCGCTGTGGGATGAAGTTCAACAACATCAAAGTAAACAGGAAACACAACTGTTTGTTGTTGAAGCTTTTTAAAGTTTTCATTGTGAAAATGTTCTGTTTGTCCACAGAGTGAAGGACTGGACCAGTGCTCCCAGCCTGAGGACCTGGTAAGCTCTTCCTTTAACCACGTTAATGAATACAGGTAATTAATTATTACACCTCGTAAAGTAGAAAACAGACTAGATTTATGGCTCAGGAACAAACTGTTGACTCGGACCTGGTTACAGAAAGGGATGGAGTCGGGTCCTGTTTCAATGAACACAGAAATGTCTTAAAGTAGTGGGTGTGGTATGGATCAGACCATTGATTATATATTACTGGAGTGGGCGTGGCTAGCGTGTTGCTAGCTATATATGTATATACCCCAACCCCTAACCGTGTATATA